CATGTAAGACGCCACCTCCTCTTGCCATGAGGTTGTGAAACACATTCCTGCCTACCTGTGGTTGTCTAATGGGGATTAGCTTGAGCCATCCGGCCACAGTTGTTGCTTCAGGGCTGGCTGCATGGTCCTTCGGAATACCTTACGTTAGTTAAGGGTAATAAAAACATTGGGGTGCTATTAAATTGTTGAAACATGGGACAGTAGCAGATTAGAGTTTCACAATCATAAAGGAAGTTAGCTATTACCTGTGGACTAAATGATTATTCATTTATTCTGTGTGAGCATCCCTTTAGAGGAAAGTGCTTCTTCAGCTTTCTTCATAGCACTCTGTCTTCTTATTGTATGTATACCTTGATTTCATTCATCCCCAGGCATCTTGTTAATTCCAAGCACCAAAGCTTCCTTCCAGAGCCCAGCTATAGGCCTGAAGCAGTACCCAGAAAATTTTTGCAAAGACTTAGGTAATGATTGTACTTCTTGAATTAGGAGGAACCATTTATCTCTTCAATTTTTCTACAATAAGATGCCATGATATTTCTTCACCCCTATTCACAGAGCTTTGTCAGCCTTTTTTGTGTACTGCTATGCACCTCGAGTATATTCTTTGATGTATTAAAAAGGCATCCTACTTGTTTATAGTCACCTACCTTGGAAACATCAGGAACATATCCAAGAACCAGGAGCTAAGGAATAAAGGCCTCTGAGCAGCAGAAGTTATGGTTAGAAAATTCACGTACTCACCCCTAAAACTATTCCTCAAGCTTTCATTCAGAGCCTGTTTATTTTTAAAATACTATTCTGGCACATGGGATATGGCTTCTCAGCTAGTGAGAAGTCCTACTAAAGGCAGAAATAGGACTGCTAAGATCAGCACTGTTTGGAAGCCAATAAGGAGGAAGATTTTAATACAAAACAGGCTACCACTGTGGCTCTTTAGGAAGTCAGACTTATTTAGTTGAGTAGCCCCCCAAACTATTAATATAATTTGGTTCAGTGTAATAAAAATAATAGCCAAACTTCAGTAATAGTGCATATGATAATGATCCCAAGTATCAGGAAATAATGAATTATGTTCAAGATGAGATAATTTTTTAAGACTTCCATCAGAAAAAAAATTGAATCTTTATATATTTGCTTTAAAATTTTTGGTACTTGAAGTTTAAATTTTATCCAGAGAATTTACTCTTTTTACGTTATAAGAAAGCATTAATGCATGTTCCTGATCTCCAAGTTTGTTGGCTTGTTTGTTTGTTGATATGGGGTCTTACTCTGTCACCCAAGCTATACTGCAGTGGCATAATCATAGCTCCCTGAAGCCTCAACCCCCTTGGCTTAAGCGATCCTCTTACCTTAAGTTTCCCAAGTAGCTGGGATAGCTGGGACTGCAGGCTAAAGCTAGCAAGCCCAGTTAGCCTAGTTATTTTTACTGAAGCACTTTTAATTTGATTCATTGACACTAGTTGATATTTGTATAAACTGTGTAGGTTTTTCCTTGGAGAATTCCCAAGTGGTAGATGGGGCAGGTACTCTTCTAAGACCCAAAGTGGTTAAGTGTTTTGGACAAGGTCACATAACTAGTAAATAGCAGGACTACTCATTGGTTCTCCACCTCCTCACTGGTACTGTAGCTTGTAACACATATTGTGTTGTTGCTTCCACCTGATAGACATAGCGGCAAAGTTCCTCCTAAAGGGCTCCAGGGGTCCTTGAGCAGGGACCACCTCCTGCCTGCTCCATGAGCAGAAAAGTCTGCAGCTACATGAGGAGTCTGTTGAGCTCCTTTGAACATCTCATTGAGTCTGTAAGTTGGAAATGTCCTAACAGTCACTCATCCAAGGGATGTCACTGATGTCTTGCCTGTTCCAAAGGAAGAAGATAATATTTGCCATTTTTGCAAAGCAGGAGGAGCTTATTCCATATATTGCCTTTTTAAAACTTTTTATTAAGTCCACTTTATAGACAGACAAGTGCTCAGTAGGTTTTTTTCCTAGCTGCTTTCATCTTTTCTTCCCTTTGGCACATTTTGTCCCCATTGCCAGGATGTACATTGGAGTTTACCATACTCGTGTATGTTTTGTAATACTTTAATGGTCTTTTTTCCCAGTGTATTCACAATTCAGTTATACTTGGAAAGTTTGAGGTAGGCATTTTCTTTTTTTTTTTTTTTTTTGAGATGGAGTTTCGCTCTTGTTACCCAGGATGGAGTGCAATGGCGCAATCTCGGCTCACCGCAACCTCCGCCTCCTGGGTTCAGGCAATTCTCCTGCCTCAGCCTCCTGAGTAACTGGGATTACAGGCACGCGCCACCATGCCCAGCTAACTTTTTGTATTTTTAGTAGAGATGGGGTTTCACCATGTTGACCAGGATGGTCTCGATCTCTCGACCTCGTGATCCACCCACCTCGGCCTCCCAAAGTGCTGGGATTACAGGCTTGAGCCACCGCGCCCGGCGAGGTAGGCATTTTCTAAGACATTTCTAGTCTTTCAAATCCATAGTCTAATGTAGGCCCTTTCAGAAACCCATGGCACTACCAACTAAGACTGCTTTCTTGCTAATTGTGAAAACAAAACCACAGTGTATTATTTTTTCTGGTAAAGCAGTTAGGTTAAGCAAGAGATTTGACTAGTTTCTTGGTTTTGTATTTAGTCATGTTCAGCAACCTTTTCACCACTTGATCTTAAAAGTCTCCCTAAGTCAAGAACAAAAACTGAAATTGTCTGAGTACCTAGCCTTTTGTGCTTTATGCTTTATGTATGTTATCTAATATCTCAGTCATTTGAGATACTGACACTCAGTCCCAGCTTACAGATGAGGAAACCAAGGTTCAGAGACATGAAGTAACTTGCCTAAGATCTTGTAGATAGTAAATGTCAGAGCCAAAAGTGGAATCTCGGATTTCCATATTCCACAGCCTGTGCTCTTTCCACTATGACCCCACTGCTCAGAAGCCAGTGGAGGGTGGGAAGGAAAGGTAGGGGTGATGTGGGTTGTCTAGGGTCAGCCTTCCTTATAAAGGTGCCTCATGACTGGAACAGAAAAGTCAAAGACTGAAGAAAAGAATTAGCCAGAAGATACTATCAAACAACATCTGTTCACACATTTAAACTGCCTTCTGTGCTCTGCCCTATTTCATGTCAGGTCACATAATAGTCTCCTGAGGAATTATAATCCATACAGAGAAGTTTGAGAAATTATATAAAACTCCAGGAAACTGGAGCAACTGCATGGTTTCAGGCATCCAGAAGCACAAAGCAGCTAGTGAAAGGCCTGGCTGTCTAAGCAGGCATTGCCTGTGGTGTGACTTGAATCTAGCATCACCCTTTCACACAGCCCCAACTGTCATGATAAGCTCTAAGGATTTGTCCTGGGTGACTTATTTAAATGGTAGAAAGGGGTTTTTAACATAGAATAATTTCTTGTGCATGATTGTAAAAGATGTATTGAAGGTCTAGGAGAATATAGCAAGTGGACCTTGAGTGAAGATAGAATACTACTACCTCTCGGTGATAGGCCTATACAGTTTAGTGTGGCATCATATCTGTGTTCTCACTTAAGAGACTGTGAATTGGGACTAGCTTATTATCTCACCTTTTAAAGAATGTAAAATTGTTGATTTCTATTCCTTTATGCTCCCAGGAAAGGTAGAAGGATTCCTGCATTAGCGTGACCAATTGGTCATGCCGAGAAACCATCTTAATATTTTAAGTTCTCAGCCAGGCATGGTGGCTCATGCCTGTAATCCTAGCGCTTTAGGAGGCTGAGGCAGATGGTTGAGCTCAGGAGTTCGAGACCAGCCTGGGCAACATGGTGAAACCCCATCTCTATTAAAATACAAAAAATTAGCTGGGCGTGGCAGTGTGCGCCTATAGTCCCAGCTACTTGGGAGGCTGAGGTAGGAGAATTGCTTGAACTCAGGAGGCAGAGGTTGCAGTGAGCCAAGATCGTACCACTGCATTCCAGCCTGGGTGACAGAGTGAGACTCTGTCTCCATAAAAAATTAACAAAAACAAACACAATTGTAATTTCTCTAAGTACTTTTTTTTTTTTCTTTTGAGATTGAGTCTCACTCTGTCGCCCAGGCTGGAGTGCAGTAGCACAATCTCGGCTCACTGCAACCTTCACTTCCAGGGTTCAAGCAATTCTCTGCCTCAGCCTTCTGAGTAGCTGGGATTCCAGGCACCTGAGACCACACCCGGCTAATTTTTGTATTTTTAGTAGAGACAGGATTTCACTATGTTGGCCAGGCTGGTCTTGAACTCCTGACCTTGAGATTCACCCACCTCAGCCTCCGAAAGTGCTGGAATTACAGATGTGAGCCACCATCTAAGTACTTCTAAGCCAAGATTTGTACTGTAGTGTGCCTCAATTCTTGTCAGTGTTGTAGACTTATAAATCAATGATTATTTAACAGGAATACCCAGACCCAAAATAAAGCAAAGTATATGTTGACCAACTAGAGTTAATAATGTGGTCAAAATTTTAGTTTTTTTGAAAAAAAAATATATTTGCAGTATTTCTTCTCTTTAAGATAATTTTTGAATGATTACTTTTAAAGTATGAAGAAGTATCCTTCGTAAATATAAACTTACGCTGTGGTTAAATTAAAAAAAGAAAAAAGTATGAAGAATACTGTCACTAAAAATTGAGACAATAACAGCCTGGCTCTATATTATAATTAGGTAAATAATTCTTATTTATTGAATCAAAAGTATACGAACAGACTGAGAAGCAGTTTTGGCCAAAGTACCCACTCTCTTTATAGTACAGATAGCCAGGCAAGGTGGCTCAGCTTGTAATCCCAGCACTTTGGTAGGCTGAGGCAGGAGGATGTCTTTAGGCCAGGAGTTCAAGACCTGCTGGGCCAACATAACGAGACCTTGTATCTACAAAAAAAAAAAAATTAATAATAAAATGAATAACATCAAGTGAATTTTATAATGTAAAAACAGTTCTTTGGTAAATGACCATACTAATACCTTCTTTCTCTTTGTCTGTCTAGTGAGAACTCAACAGAGGCAATAGCAGTAGATTCTAACAATCAGTCGAAGTCCCCACTGGAGAAGTTTATGGTCAAGCTGTGTACTCATCATCAAAAGCAATTCATTCGTGTTCTGAACGACCTGTATACTGAATCTCAGCCAGGCACTGAGGACCTGCAGCCTTCTGATTCTGGAGCAATGGATGTATCCACTTGTAATGCTAGCTGTGCCCAGCTAAGCACCAAACCTAAGGAAAAAGATGCTCTGTGTCTCGATATGAAGTCTCCTGCTTCTGTAGATTTGTTTGTAGACTCTCACAGCCCTCTACACTTGACGGAACAGACCCTGAAGGAGCCTCCTCCTGAGACAAACTCTGTAGATGGAAGAGAGAATACCCTGACTGTTGTCCAGAAAGATTCCTCTGAAGTTCCAACCACTAAACCGAATTCTATTAATAGCAGTTCAGTGGATAGTTTCACTCCGGGATACCTCACTGCATCTAATTCTTCCTCAGTGAACTTCCACCACATCCCTAAAAGCTTGGAGGGGCAAACCACTGGACAGGAGCAAGACACAAATGTGAACATATGTGCGGATGGGAAAGACCATATGCAGAGTTCAGCTTTAGTAGAAAGTCTAATTACAGTAAAAATGGCAGCTGAGAATAGTGAGGAGGGCAATACCTGTATTATTCCTCCAAGAAATTCGTTCAAAGCTTTATCAGAAGAGGCTTGGGACTCAGGGTTTTTGGGGAACTCACCTAGAACTGCAGACAAAGAGAATACTTTACAGTGTAGCTCAAAAACACCTTTACGCCAGGATTTAGAGGCAAATGAACAAGATGCAAGGCCAAAGCAAGAGAACCATCTTCACTCGCTGGGAAGAAATAAGGTGGGTTACCATTTACATCCCAGTGATAAGGGCCAGTTTGATCATTCCAAAGATGGTTGGTTAGGCCCCAGCCCTATGCCAGCTGTTCACAAAGCGGCAAATGGACACTCAAGAACTAAGATGATATCAACCTCCATTAAGACAGCTCGGAAAAGTAAAAGGGCATCAGGGCTGAGAATAAATGATTATGATAACCAGTGTGATGTTGTTTATATCAGTCAGCCAATAACAGAATGCCACTTTGAGAATCAAAAATCGATACTATCTTCTCGGAAAACAGCCAGAAAGAGTACTCGAGGATACTTTTTCAATGGTGACTGTTGTGAGCTGCCAACTGTTCGTACACTAGCCAGGAATTTACACTCCCAGGAAAAAGCAAGCTGCTCAGCGTTGGCATCAGAGGCAGTTTTCACTCCTAAGAAGATCCTTGCAACTTCAGCCCCTAGACATACAGTAGATGTGCAGCTTCCCAGGGAAGACAACCCTGAAGAACCTAGCAAGGAAATAACCTCCCCTGAGGAAGGAGGTGGAGATGTTTCACCTGGAAAAGAACCTCAAGAGCCTGAGGTTTGCCCCGCAGAGATTAAGCCAAATCTGAGCAGCTCCCCTAGGTCTGAGGAAACAACAGCCTCCAGCCTGGTGTGGCCTCTCCCTCCTCACCTTCCTGAAGAGGATCTGCCAGAAGATGGCTCCACAGTCGCAGCTCCCACAGCAAGCGGGATGTCTTCTCCTGACCACGACCCACCACCACTTGCACTGCTGGATACGGAGGAGATGAGCGTACCCCAGGACTGTCCGCTGCTTCCCTCTACTGAAAGCGTTTCTGGGGGAGGCAGTGACGATGTCATTTCTAGGCCTCATTCTCCTCCTGAAACAGTCAGTAGAGAAGAAAGTCCTCTGTGCTCAGAAAATCAAAGTTCCCCAGTGTGCTTGGAGCCTCCCCTGAGTCTGGGCAAGGCTGAGGACGACCAAAGCATCAGTGCTGAGGTTGAGCCTGGGGATACCCAGGAGCTAGATGTCGACCCACTCTTGAAGGAAAGCAGCACTTTTACTGATGAAAAGCCCAGTGAAACTGAGGAAGGTGAGGCAACAGGTGGTACAAGAAAATTAGAGGGAGCGGATGGGGATACAAAATGCCTGTCAGAAAAAGACACGTGTGAGCCAAGCACTGACCCACTCGAAGAGAATTTGGACAAGAAGAAAAAAGGTAAAAAATTCCTCGAGGCCTCTGATAGGTGCCTAAGAAGTCAACTTCTGGATTCTTCCTCTACTGACAGATGCTTAAGAAATCAAAGTTCAAATTCTTCCTCAGCTTGTCTTGAAATCAAGGTTTCTAAAAATCCTGGTGCAAAACGTTCCAGAAAAGAAGCGCACCCTAGTGGGGCAACACCTGAGGGCCTTCCACCTGCCGCTTTCCACACGGAAGCTCTGGAAGACACAAAAAAGCCAAGTGTCAGCGAACGCCTGCCTGAGAAAGATGCCGAGCCGGAGGGTGAAAGCGCTGGGGTCATCACCAGGCAGACTTTGAAAAACATGCTGGGCAAAGAAGTCAAGGAGTTAGGAGGAGAGATTTTCCCCAGCAAGGACCCCATAACCGCAGCTGGACAACCACTGCCTGGAGAGAAACTAGAAATCTATGTTCAGTCGAAAACAGACGAGAAGAATGCTCATATCCCCTCAGAACGTATTCCTTGTAAGAGGGACCCAGCACAGGCAAAAGAAGAGCCAGGGCATCTTCCCACACAGCATGCGGAGGAGGCTGTGAATGAGGCAGACAGAGAAAACACGCAGCAGAAAGATGATGACAGTGATACCCCATGCAGCTCGCTCGGGTTGTCGAGTAGTGGAAGTGGTGATGCTGCTAGGCCACCAAAATTGGTGCCAAGGCCTAAAAGATTGACCTCTTCAACCTACAACCTAAGACACGCTCATTCTCTGGGCTCCTTGGATGCTTCAAAAGCGACTTCAGAAAAGGAGGCTGCACAAGTAAACCCCCCACTGCCGAAGGAAAACAGAGCTTCAGAGAGTGGAGACCCCCTAGGTGAAGATGATGTTGACACCGTGGTAGATGAACAGCCAAAGTTTATGGAATGGTGTGCTGAGGAGGAGAACCAAGAGCTTATTGCCAACTTCAATGCCCAGTACGTGAAAGTTCAGAAGGGCTGGATCCAGTTGGAGAAAGAAGGACAGCCCACACCAAGAGCGAGGAACAAATCAGATAAGCTGAAGGAGATTTGGAAAAGCAAGAAAAGGTCACGAAAATGCAGGGGTGCTTTGGAGGGTCAGAAGTTTTCTCCTGTTCAGATGCTGTTTATGACAAATTTCAAATTATCTAATGTTTGTAAATGGTTCTTAGAGACAACTGAAACCCGGTCTCTAGTCATTGTGAAGAAGCTCAATACTCGTCTTCCAGGAGATGTTCCCCCTGTCAAGCATCCACTTCAGAAATACGCTCCTTCCAGCCTGTATCCCAGTTCACTGCAGGCTGAACGCTTGAAAAAACACTTGAAGAAATTTCCTGGAGCTACTCCTGCTAGGAATAATTGGAAAACGCAGAAGCTCTGGGCTAAATTTCGAGAGAATCCTGACCAGGTGGAGCCAGAGGATGGCAGTGATGTCAGCCCCAACCGTAATTCTGAAGACAGCATAGAGGAAGTCAAGGAAGATAGAAACAGCCATCCTCCAGCCAACCTGCCCACTCCAGCCAGTACTCGGATTCTTAGAAAATATTCCAACATTCGAGGAAAGCTTAGAGCCCAGCAACGTTTAATCAAGAATGAGAAAATGGAATACCCAGACGGTCTGGCTGTGGAAAGTAAAACAAGTCGTAAGAGCGTATGCATCAACCCTCTGATGTCTCCCAAGCTTGCCCTGCAAGTAGATGCAGATGGGTTTCCCGTTAAGCTCAAGAGTACTGAAGGAATGAAGGGAAGGAAGGGGAAGCAGGTGTCTGAAATCTTGCCTAAAGCAGAAGTTCGGAGTAAACGCAAGAGAACAGAAGGCAGCAGCCCTCCTGATAGTAAGAACAAGGGGCCTGCAGTGAAAGCCAGCAAAGAAAAGCATGCTGATGGAGCCACCAAAACCCCTGCCGCCAAGAGGCCAGCTGCAAGGGACAGAAGCAGCCAACTCCCCAAAAAGATGTCTTTGAAAGAGAATAAAGGGAAGGTCCCTAAAAAGTCCCCTGGGAAGAGCTGCCCTCCCTCCAGGAAAGAAAAGGAGAATACAAACAAAAGGCCTATTGCCTCGGAAACACTGACGAAACCTGCAAAACAGAAGCGGGCAGGTGAATCCTCTTCAAGGCCCCAGAAAGCCACGAATAGGAAGCAGACTAGTGGAAAGACTCGGGCCAGACCCCTGACAAAAACCCCAGAGAGCAGTGCAGCTCAGAGGAAGCGAAAGCTGAAGGCAAAGCTGGACTCTTCGCACAGCAAACGGAGGCGGCTGGATGCAAAGTGATTGGAAAATGGTAACCAAGAATAAAACTGTTCTATAGAAGTAACCTTTTATTTTGCATTAACTAAATCTGCTTTTATAAGCTTATCAAGCCTTTCAAATTTACAGTTAATGGAGAACAGCGTGATTTGAGATGTCAGAAAATGCATCTCAGATGGAGAAGGGAACTTGCAGAGTCCTTCTCTGAGGCTAAGGGAAGTTATATATTATATTCTGGTTGTTCCTTGGGTTTTAAACTTGGAACCAAGCAGTTTTTGTTTTTAAAAGTACAGTGCCTTATTTATCCTTTTTGTTTTTAAATTTACAAAAGCTAAAAAGCTGATCTATGTGATTAAAGGCTTGTATTTTATACTTGATGCACAAGCACTTGCACTGTAGCCGAGAAGACCACCATCATGCACATCAAAGGAGCTTTTCAGCAGCCACCCTGCAGCGTCTGCCCACCAACAGATACCCCTCTTTGCAAACCCTAGCAGTGAACTTCCCTCTCTGTCTTGTTTGTTTAGATGATATTTGAAAGCTAAACCAAATCATTTTTATGGTATGCAGAGGTTTTATAATTATTATAAAAGATTACTATTTCTGTTACCCCCTTTTGAAAAAGATCACATTAATTGTTTCCTCCTCTCACCTTTGATGTTTTGTCATTTGAGAGCATGTATATGTCACAAGTGTTAATTTTTGTTCATAACTTCTAAAAAATCATTTGCATCCCCAAACTGTATTACCGATTCTCACCATCTTCTTCATTTCTGGCCTTGCTAGCACTCCTGCTGCCAAGAGGCCAGCTGCAAGGGTCTTGTTAGAAGACTGCATTCTTAGAAAATAGATTCTTAGTTGGAGAAGGGAACTTGCAGAGTCCTTCTCTGAGGCTAAGGAAAGTTGTATATTATATATAGTTTGGGAGTATATATAATATATAACTTTGGGAGGAAAAAGTCCAGGATGTTTTTTTTTTTTTCATCTTGTAGCTGTAATTTGATGATTAGGATGAAAATGACTGTTCTTATTTTCTTTCTTACCCAAATACTTCCATATTCAAAGAAAGCCGAAATATTTGCAGTAATAGAAAGGTTTAAAAGTGTGTATGTCCATGTGTGCTTGGGTGCATTTGCATGTGGTTATCAGCCACAAGTGTCTCCCAGTCCCGGTTTTACAGTAAAATTTTTTCTTCCCCGTGCCGTGTGCTTGGGTGTTCCTGAGTTGAGTAATTAGCAAAGAACAGGTGGCTTAAAAGTAGTCCAGTGTCTCTGTGAGCATCCCCAATACCACTATAGTACCAGACTCAGAAAGATCTAAAACAGTCGGAGTTATGTAAAGGTTAGAGTAGCCTTGCAGTGAGAGGAAGCAGCTCCAACATCTGTGGGGAGCCCCCACACCCCCTACACCCAGAGCTGATGTGCAGCTGTATGCTCCAATGTGAATGTACTTGTTGGAGTAGATGTTCATTCTGATTGATTAATGCCATCCTAGTAGTTAAACGCTTGTAGTATCACTCCTGCCATGTCATGTCAGGCTCTGTTCCATGTCTCAGAAATGAGAACTACAATATTTTCACTGACTTTGTTTGCCTTTCCCAGGTGAAGCCTGAGACGGGCGCATTGGCTTTAGCCTAGTGCTTATGACCTTGCTCCATTATAGCAAAGTGTGTACTTGACTTTTCCATTGGGCTCCTCTACAAAAAAAGGCTTGGTTGCTGAAGCCTCAACCAGCTTGTTTAACCTGTTCTGTCGCCAAAATCAGCTTGTATGGACAGCTGTGGCACTGTCCCATTTCATTTAAAAATTTTCCATTTAGGTTGTTTCAGATCTCTTTAGATAAGCCCAGATGGACTTTTTTCATGCGAATCATGATAATACAGGCCTTCTACCCATTCTGTTAAAGGTTTGCTGTATATCATGGAAATTTCTGATGATTGGATAAGACTGGAGAAAAGCATTTGATTTATGAGAAATTTAGAATTGTGTTGAATTTCATAGCTAGAGAAGCTTGCTATCTTATGAATCCCTGATTTGTTTTAATGTCTTCTCTGTCCGATGAGTCTTTTTATTATCTTTGACTCTGGCCATTCAAGAGCTACCTATATTAATAAAACTGCTGAGTGTGTATATTGGCAACCCTTTCTCAGCATTAAGTTGCACAGAAGCATTAATATGTTTTGAATAGGTTCATTTAATCTTAAAAAATGGTTTTAAGGTTTTAAGAATATCTTTTCATATAGTTGTCACTGGATACTGTTTTTGTGGTGACTTAAACAGCTGATGTTTGCCAATGGCAGACATGCTGATTCCTGTACATTAGAGGTGCCCCCTTGGCTGCATACAGACTACCTTGTAAGGTGCTTGGATTAGGTTAGGGAGAGGAGTAAGGTAGTAAGTGGGTGGAACTTTTCCAGTTCCAAGTGTATAACTCATTCCATTCCTTTTTTAAGTTATTTTTCATTTTTAAAAGCTCACTTAATAGCCTTCTTTCCCATTCTAGGCTGTGTGTGAGAAAAGGTGTTAATGTGTATCTATGTATCTTACATACCTAACAATGCAATGGATCATCTTTAAAATCAACTTACACTTTATAATAAGGACATTTAAATAGACCGAAAGTCTACATAATTACAACACTTGAAAGTGTAGAATTTTTTATGTTTGTTGAATCTCATTTTGGCTGATTCAATTAATTTTGTTTTAGAAAAAAGAAAATAGCAAAACGTGAGGGCCAATCCCAAAAGGCCCTTTGATACCGGCAGCAGGTACTGGCAAAGCAGTTTCCCAGACACCTCGAAGCTCAGGTTGGGTATTGAGTCAAGTCGGTTAGTTTTCCCTCCCTTGCAGAAATCTTCCTAGAGCCATCTTCAAGAATGGCCCACCACCAGATGCCAAAGCAGTCTATCCCACATTCTGATTCCAAATCAGAAAGGAATTCTGTTCCTGGGTGTACACTTGGTGAAGTGACCATCCCAGTCTTGGGGCTGACGCTGATGACCAGAGGATTCTGGTATTCTCTTGAGTTTCTGGAGATGCTGGTAGGTGCCTGGGAAGTAATCACTGAAGCTCTGCCGTAGCTCCCCTAGAGGAGGGCCCTCTTCAGAACACCCATCTTCTATCCCATGAGGCTCCCTGCTGTAGGTGGACACCCAGGAGACCGCTCTCTCACTTAGGGTCCCAGCTAGCACTTCCTCAGACAGGTAACAATCTTGGAGTACAGCAGGAAGGTTGCAAACCTGTGTTCTGCTCCTGGGGCTTCCTTCATAGGAATGCTATTAGTGTCTAAGTCAGTAGTTGCTAGCCCCTTGGATTCCTTAGTAAAGACTTCTCTGTAGGCTGTGAGTCTCCTGCTGTATTGTTCCTAAAATAGTATGGATCGAAGAGGTACCCTTAGTCATCCCTTTACATATTTGGTGCTTCCTAATGGGATCCTCTATGCATCACACACTAGGCAGGTGAATTTCTCATTGTTCAGTTATGTCATCAGTAAAAGGCATCACTTCAAGATAGTTACTTTGAATTAAGGTTTGGCCTCTTTTCCTGCTTTGTGATAAGTTCTGTGGTGAGGGTGGGAGCTGTCATTCACATTTATGGGCAGCGTTCCTGTTGATTAGTGGACCTAAGTGCCAAGTAGGAAAACATAGCATGCTATGCGATGCAAGCTGGAGATGCTGTAGTGTTAACCATCAGTAGGTTCTGTGTCTGGTCACAATACCTGGGACTGGGCTGGAATATCCCAAGGTGCTGGCCAGTAGCCCAGAGAGCCATCCCCGTTCCTTTTGGTTTTAGGTCAGCCTGTGCAGGCTGCCTTTTGGATTCCAGATGATCTATCAAGGGTCTGCAAACTGTGGGCTGGTCACTTGTTTGTGTAAATAGAATGTGTTTGGAATATAGCCACACCCATTTTCTTATCTCTGTGGCTGCTTTTGCACTGCAAGAGCAGAGTTGAGTAGTTGCAGCAGAGACCCTTGTGGCCCTCACAGCCTGAGATACTTACTATCTGGACCTTCAGAAAACATCTGATCCCTGCTTGAGAAAGTCATCCTTTTTCAGGAACAAATATTCTCTGATTTTCCTTCTTTCTTCTGCCCCTTTTTCTCTGTTCTTCTGCATTTACCATTTTCCTTGTCTCAATTATGTTTTTCTCTTTTACACCTCTTTATTCTTGCTACAAAGGAGACATGTTATATCGATACGCACTACCATCCTCTTAAACTTGAGTAACCTTAGCATTCCATCTTTCTTAAAATCAACCATCACAGTAGCCATAACGAGGCCACCTTACCCTATAAAGCCTGAACCCATGAGCAAATAGGGATTCGGAGTTCTAAAATTACATGTCCTGGGCCTCTCATTTCACTCACAAAGAACTGTTACTGACTTTATTGTTTAGTAAAGTAAGCCAAGATTTTGTTGCTGGTAAAATTAGTTGAGACTACTTTAGTTGGACTTTTAGTCCTTTGAATGTCACACTTAGATGCGGAAAATGTTCCTCACACAGTCGAAACCAAGTCTGATCACAAACCCAAAGCATTATTTTTCTTTTTCTTTTTCTTTTCTTTTTTTTTTAAAGCATTGTTTTTCTAATGTAATATTTTGGTCAGCTTTTAGGAAAATAAAGAGTTGGCACTGCTACCTTTTTAGTCACATACTTTCAAAATCATTTAACTAAAGGTAAGCCAACAAATAAAACATAGATGCTTTTGGAGTGCTTTAGTAATGATTTTAAAAATTGGAGTTATAACCAGAGTATGACTGAAAAGCTATTATAGTCTTCCTCCTGCTCCAAAAACTCAAGGATAAGTTATATGTAATCTTTTTTTGTTTAAGTAGAGACAAGGTTATGCTATGTTGCCCAGGCTGATCTCAAACTCCTGGACTCAAGCTGTGCTCCCACCTCAGCCTCCCAAAGTGCTGGGATTATGGGTGTGAGCCACCACACCCACACAAGTATGAGTTTCTGTGCGGTTGTTTTTAAATGTGAATGTGGTTGAATGTCCTGTCAGTGAAAAATTTTTGTCAGTGGCCCCAAATCAGTGATCGTTTTAGTTGTCTTGAAACTGAAAATTATTATTTTTAATTCTTAGTGTTACTTTGATGTCTTATGACTTGATATCCACTGAAATACTGGATTTTTTTAAAGTATGAAATCACATCTGTGTAAGGCAGTTTTCATACCCTAGCAGTAAGTGCTTTTCCCCATACTTGTTCTCAAATCCTTTTCAGGGGAAAATGAAAAGATTATTGTATTTGAAACAAGCAGAATTGTGGGAAGCTGCCTTTTTTTTTTTTTTATTTAGACACCCAGGCTGGAGTGCAGTGGGCATATATGATCATATAGTTTAAAAGTGCAGTTTTTTACGGTTGACTTCATTTTTATGACACCCACTGCAGCCCTCATCTCCCAGACTCAAAGAGATTTTCACACCGCAGCCTCCTGAGTATCTGGGACTACAGGCACATGCCACTACACCCAGCTTTTTTTTTTTTTTTTTTCAGTTTTAGCAGAGATAAGGTCTCGCTGTGTTGCCCAGACTGGGAAGTCTTTTTGAGGCAGCCTTCACTGTAATTCATCCCTTGGAACATCAGAACTGAGTCTTGTATTCTACAGTGGATGGATTA